TATTTTCTTAAAGTAACTAGAACAGACCACTGGGGCATTACACCAGGCTGAAGCACTGCATGAATATGTTATCTCCATGACTTCCCACTCACAACGGCACTAAATAACTTAGCACTCATTTGAATTATCAAAGGCTAAAGAGAGAGCATAGTACGTAGTATTGCTGTTGTGAAAAGATTAGACTTTGTTTAAAAAAAACATGATAACAAGTAATATCAGCACACGGGTCTTACTGTGGCGCAGATAGCCCAATAATTTGAGTGGGTTTTAGTCCTCCTGACAGGTGAAGTTCACTTGGATTCACAAAGTTCACACACCCTCTAAGGCTTAGTGGAAAAAGTAAAGTAAGTGATTATAAAGGTTTGTCTTTAGTTCTGCCTACTATGAACAAAAGCACTTTACACCAGGATTTCACTGACTGCATTCAAGTACAAAAACTTCGTTATAGGTGCAATCTGTGGAAGAAACCCCGATTTCAGTCAACAGTATTAACCTGGGCTTCTGAATTCCTCTTGATTTATGCTGGCTTGGCCAAGAAAAGAATTCTCATTTGTCAATGGACAGATGCTGTATATATACAAATAGACATCTCTTGCTGTTAAAATATTTTAAGTTGACTTCCTTGTATGGTTGGAACTAGAAGAAATAAATTTGTGTACAAAACCATGGATAGAAGTTTTCCTTGTTTATCTATTCCCCAGAACAGGAACATTGTTAAACTGGCTTTCATTTCGTCATGTTACATTTGGTTTGTGTTTGCTGTTTTTCTGCATTCTGTGTGAAGTGATATTTGCATTCCAACTCCACTTTTGCAGACGGTCCTGCAGTTTGCTCTAAGTCTGTAGCAGAGCTCTACATCCCACTGGAAGAAGTATGCTTACCATTTCAGATGATATTTTCCCTTTCTGCCAAAGAAATGTGAAGCAGGCCATTTTCCTGAGTTCTACCAAACTGACAAGGACGAATGTAAGTGGTAAATGCAACATTTACAATAATAGATTACACATATTCACCAAGACTGACCTGATAATGCTGCTGGTATAGTCTATATTCTATATAACTTGATACACTATTGGTATAATGTCTGTTCTTTTCAACAGTAGCTTTAATAATGCTATGCATTTGTTAAAAGCAATGATCTTTTTAAAAATGCAGGAAACTGTTAAGTGTTACAGAAGGAGCACTAGCAGCAGCTCATAGCCCCAAGTGAACCTAACAAGAACAAGGTAACAAGTATTTCTGGTAAGTTGAGAATTGATTGTTTTTTAAACATCAGCTTTTTCCATGCTAATCATGTCAGTGTTTTCCTATTACTGGTTAATTAACATTTCATACCAGTATTTCCACTTCTCTGTTACTGATAATTGACATACTATTTTTCTTTTTTTTTCGAACATTTCTATTGTAATGCTCAGTTCATCTGTCTCTCATATTCCCCTTTTTTCCTCTTTTCCTTTTTAAATTTCATGTAAGTATTAAAGTGAATATCAGCACTTCCATTTTTGTGGCTTAAATGACTAGTATAAAGATTCCTATTGCACACTAACTGTGCAATTTTATAATTACCTGAAACCATCCAGAATATAATCTATTCAGGCACCTGCTTACACACCAAGAATTAATTTGTCTTGATTTCAACTGGGAAATAAGCAGAAACAAGTGAAGTAGAAATCTCATATTCATGCCAATGCAGCTACACGAGAACATCTGAAAAGAATATTCATTATCCAAGCAACAGACCTTCAAATACAAAATTATTCATGAGCTATCAGTGTGTCTGGAAATACAGCCTTAATAGACACAACCCACCTGCAAAGCTGAAGAACTCCTCATGTGCAGGATGCATAATCCTGTCTGCATTGAAGCAAAAACCAGCTGAGCACCTAGGCTTCAGTAGGAAAGACAATATTCTCTGGAGTTTGGTTCACTGGAAATGATGCAGATGGCTTTTCTCCTATTTTTTGTGGTTACGTATGAACAGGTATATCACAAAACCAAAGCATGACATTTAGATCAGCACATGTGGCCACTACAGCAGTTCTGGGGTTGCTTTTTTTTGCTTTGAGATTAAATTAGTTTAAAGGTGAGTGGTTTCCAGCTGAATTCCATAATGGCTAAGTTCAAATTTTTTAATTTCTACATTTTCATTATCCACTCCTATAAAGAAAAAAATTAAGCCTGTGTATGTGAAGTGACGTTACGCAGCTGCCCAACTCCATTGCCAAAGGCCCAAGTGGTGCTTGGTGCAGTCACTGGTTGGAGTTTGGCTCTCAGGGTCTTCTGGAGTATTTGCCCCTGTGCTGGGGTTGCAGGCAGTACCACTGTTTGATGGGACTCTTTGCAGTAGGCAGTATGGTGATGTCTGGGGCTTAGATTTGTGACCAAAGCCATGCTGAAACACGCCAGTGTTTTGGCTACTGCTGAACAGTGTGTGCTGAACAGGGTCAAGGGCTTCTCTGCTTCTCACTCATCCCCTGTGAGTAGAATGGGGGGTGTGTAAGAGCTTGGGAGGGGACACAACCCGGCAGGTGACCCGAACCAACTGAACAAAGAGATATTCCATGACATACAGTCCCTGCTCAGCAGTAAAATGCAGAGGAGTGAGGCTGAGGTAAAGTTGGGAACTAGTTGTCCACTGCTCTGCTCACAAGAAGTGGTGAGTGATGGGTGTTGTGCCACTTCTTTTGTTTTGTTTTCTCTTCTCTGATTTCTTCTGCTTCTCTCTTTATTAAATTATTTTCACCTTGACCCATGAGCTTTCTTGCTTTTACTCTTTTTTTCCCCTGTCCTACTGTGGGTGGGCAGCTGGTGAGTAAATGATGGCTATGGGAGGCTGTATGGTGCTTAGCTCCCTACCAGGGTTATCCCGAAGCACACTGTGTGCCAACAGGGGTTGGTTCCATAACTGGGCAAGGCTGGTGGGATCTGCCCAGGAAGAGTCACTCAGACCATTTCTCCATTTCAGGGATAACCAAAGAGCTCTCATGTGGTAATACTACGGGCCAATACTACTGGATGTGGCCAGTGATTGAGGTATAAAGAAGGTGAAAAGCTTGTTATAACTTCTACTTCACTACATTAAAAAAAAAATAAATCTAAAAGGACTTGAAGTTTGTTTCTCAAAGACACCTATATCTCAAAATATATAATCTCTTTAAGAAATCACCACAGCACTGGGTGTCAAGATAAATAAGCCCAGGAAGTTTCATACAAAATGGAAAGGACCAAATTATTACTACAGTAAAAGTAACATAAATATGTTGGTAATAGGACTGAAAGAAAAATATTTTGGAAGGAATGTGCAATGGAAAATATTTATAAAAGCTACACCAGAAAAACACACTAAAATATGTTTTAAGTTTGCACTCACTACTTCAACAAAGACAACTCTCCAGAAGAGCAAAATTCAAGGCCTAGGAAATGGTACACAGCTTAACAGGAACCTCCAGTGAAGGAGAAGCAAAGTGTGACTAGTCCAAGGTGAGATTTCAAAAAACTTGAATCTTATGGCCATACACTGAAAGACAAAAATTATGAGTTTCTCACAATTTCACTGAAAAAGCATGTGTCTCTTAGACACCAAGCAGCCTATTTGGCAAGGCAATCCTACACAGTCCACTTTCTCTGCTCCAGTTGCTCAACTCCTTCCTACATGGGTATACTTCCACTTGTCTCAAGGAGTCATGCATGGAAGACCAGTGACAATCGTGGCACTTTCTCAGAGCTAAACAGATACTTGATTTCAGTAAGCAGAGGCCCATAAAGCATGGGCCTGACTGACTTAGGAGCTAGCTTTCTAGCTCCTAAGGACTACTGGCTCTTATGAAATGGATAGGTATACTTAAAAGTTTATTATGATTTTTAGACAAAACATACTTCCTTTAGTCCCAAATAATGCACAGTGACAGACAGAAACACGCTCAAAATACAGACATGAGGTGATAACTGGGATCCACTGATGTCACTGGCAAAGTCCGATGGTGTTCAGGAGTACCGGAAAATCACACTTTGAATGTATGAAAACCTGGAAACCAGGTTACACCATGGGAATAAGTAGCAAAGGATTAGGAGGGAATTTAAGCAAGTCATCTGATTTTAGATATTGATTCATCAAGTCTTCCCTCCATCAAATGCTTAAAAGTAAAGCCATATTTAAGTGTTTTCTTGAGCCATTGCCTTAATGGGTATTCCAAGCAGATGTAATGTTGGAGTTGGTGATAAACTAAAAACTAAAACCACAATGAATTTAAGCAAAGGCTGTTGGTGGCTTAAGCACAGAGATATGATTCACCTCACATGTAGTCAAGGTCAGATTCCATAATAAGAGTCCTCTGATGGATTCAAAGACCTAGTTCTAAACCTTTCTCCTCAATACTCCTTCTCCTACCCACAAATTAACAATGTGGCCACATCAGTGCAGGCTTGCTTGGCTGCTGTAGCCCTTCCAAGCTGCACTTCCCAAGTCCATTAAGCATCACATTAAGGATGCTGTGTGGTTACTTGCTGCCATTTCCACCAGCTATGTGATGTGATATTGTTTATATCACAGAGAGATTTGCCCCGCTGATAAATTCTTTGTCTGAAATTAATATTAAGAATTGAATTTGTCTGATTAATATTTTCTATCATCTGCTGTGAGAGACCAGTTTTGTATTAGCCACTGCTCCAAGTTATCTTGGCTGTGGAGTAAGAGGCAGGAGCACCAGTAGAACTAAGAGATGGTAGCTGACCTACCTCTGCATTACAACACGTTTATATTCATAAATAAACACACTTTCTCAGAAAGCATATTCTACTCCGTTTTTTTTTCCAAAAGTGAGAATGTCAAAGTTTTGTCATATGTTGGCTCTTTCCTGCCCCACTAAACTCAAAATATGCAACCTCAAAAAACCCCAAACCAAACCAAAACAAAAAAAGCAAGAAAACCCACATATGGTGAAACTAGAACAGAAATGTAATGTTTTAGTCATGGTGCACGTATACAACAAGAGAGGCAATGATACAGTACTTCAATCTGTATTGTCTATATAAAACATTTATTTTTAAGCTCTATAATGATATTATAGAAATACATAGAATATTTTATTCAGTGTATTTTAGTGTACTCACTGTGAAAATAACACATTTAAGACAGGTATTCTTATGTCCAAACGTTTTAAATATATGCACTTCTTTGCCTTGCAGTATTATGTTACTTTGAAAAACAAAATATCAGTGTTTTATTCTTTGCTCCTTTCCAGAATCTTCTCAGTCAGATTCTCCTGGGTCATCTAGGGTGCTCACTGCTGTGAGATATTTTATAAAAACCACGAAAAGTACGTAGATTTGTAGAATTCCTATATTTGCTTGCATTCATGTCTAGTGCACATCGCTTGCCTTTCAATTCTCCACGTGCCTTCTTCATAAGTACAGTGACATATAGTGCATTCATCAGTTTTCACCTCCCGGCCTGCTGGAATGACAAGGGTTTCTGCAAAGCAGTTTGGGCCTAAAAGAAGGAAAGAGATCATTATGCGATACCAGTAGCACACTGTAATCCAGCCTAGTGCAGTTTTTGGCCTGAACAACAGGAAACCTAATGCAAATTGAGAAACACTGGGCACATTAAAAAAACATGAGCATCGTGCACAAGGCACAAAAACAGCAAAGGATGTGAGGATGCTGCCCTCCAAAATGGCTAGATGTTTTTGGTACAGACCGTCCTGCCCTCCACGGGAAGGTGCAATAAAGCCTTTCCGTGAAACATGAAACTGGGACAGAGACCTGGGCATACACTGATGGTGCAGATCAATACAGGTTTGAGCTACAGAAAATGCCAGCTACTGATAATGCAACAGTGCTGCTGTAAGCTATTAGAGAGCTGGTTATAAATGTTACTAGTTTTTTCCCACTGGAAACATGTGCTTTAGTTTGTGTAGTAATCAAAGTATCAGATTAGTTTATTTTCCATTTTGTGAGAATATAGTCATTTTCCATGACAGTGGAATAGCTCCAGCCTCTTCTGAATGAAGACACTTTTCGTGTAAAAAAGAAATATTCCACTTTATGTAAGTCACCTACAAACACCTTTTTTCATAGTACACTGAAATAACTTCATTTCCAAGGATGAGGCAGGAGAAAAATCCACCAGCGCAATGTTCACAAGACAAATCTGATTGCTTCAACAGACATCCTCAAATCTCTCTCCTGCAGAAAGCTGCAAGGGCTGCATTTTCTATATTTCTGTTAAAAAAAAGTCATCTGTTTCTGCCTTGAAAACCCACACACACTTGTAGAGAAGCACTAAACCCTCCATCTGTCTAAACACTCTCATGTCCTCAGTGAAACCTGGCCCTTCCACTCAATAAGCACACACAGCAACTGCTCAGGCAGAGCCTCGCCACTCAACAGCACTTCAGTACCACTGTCCATCAGGGCAGGATGTGTAGCAGGGGCCAGCATACACTGATCTGATACTGCTGAAATTCTTAAAGGCTATGGGTGTTCAAAACACTTACTGGCTAGCAACCTGGTTGCCATACAAGGAAATATATCCCATACGGGCTCAGTTTTCCACTGCTGGAGGTGTACTCTTAAGACCTATGCCAAAGAGCATTAGTTCTTCTACAGAAATGTATGCTTCACATTCTAAAGCACAAACCAAATAGTTTTAATAGTTATCTCTTTGCAACAGGTTATGTCTTCGTGTACTGACACAACACCCTGAGAATCAGATGCCAAATCAGCACAATGAAGGCCTTTCCTCAATGAAGAGACACCCTCCAGAAGAGACCTGCAAGACTTGCAGAAATTTTCTTCCTCAAGTTGCATCCATTGATGCTCTGAATATTTAAGCCCATACTTTGTTTTCATAGGAGCACAGAATCGCAGAATCATTAAGGTTGGAAAAGACCTCTAAGGTCATTGAATTCAACTGTTAACACAGCACCACCATGTTCTCCACTGAACAATGCCCTCAAGTGCCACATTCACATGCCTTTTGAACACTTCCAGGGGTAGTGATTCCACCATTTCCCTGGGCAGCCTATTCCAATTTTAGGATTGACTGTTGACAATTACCTCTAACATGTGGCTACTTGCAAAGTTTTGGGTGACTTCTTGACCATTCAAGGCTTTGGATGCAGAATCGATAGTGAAATACAGCATATCTCATGTACAGTCGACTGCTTAACTATCCTAATGTTACTGTGATACTTCTGTGTTTGCAGTCCCCTCAGTCTGTCTGTGCAAAGTAATCCTGGGCTGGACAACACAGGAAGAAGGACTTTGGGGTGTAAGCCATACTCCTGGGTCCCACTGCACACTGGGAGGCGCCTCAGCTTTCAGCCAAGATAAAGCAGTGTTAGCTATGCTGTCCTCAGTGGAACTGTGCTCAAAATATTTGAATGCTAATCTTTATAATTCTGTTTCAGTGAAATATAGTATTCTTCTTATGTTCACCTACACTTTAGGTAAAGATACCTGAATGTTTGCATGCTGGCCTGTAACAGCCCCATGATTTACAAAGCTGTATGACATAAAGAGTTAAAAGAGTTAAAATTCTAAAAGCAGAATCTACTCCATGGAGAATCTGTATGATACCTGCAAGACCACTTGAAATTTAAACAATATATAAAAGGCACCAGAGGAACAAAAGTGATGTCAATCCCCTGTGAAGGATTTATTTCATTCTGGAAAGGTAAATGTTACAGGCTATAAAAACCAACCAGGGAATGAAGTAAAAATGGTGCAAAACCCATAATATAATTCACTAGGATTTATAATGCAAATGCCTCCAGTCACAATTAGCAACACCTTAATGCCATGTGTGACGAGTCCTTCTTACATCAGAAAGTTACTAAATGTAAAGATACAACAAGTTAGAAATCTCAACTGTTAAACTAAATATGGGGGAAATCATTGCTTGGGTAAACCTACAGAAGAGCAATACCTATCTACTTAAAAAAGGGACCCGACAAAAATAAATGACAACAACAAATGTTTTTTCAGTATCATGGAACTTTTCTATAGAAAACTGCCTATTTTCTGGTTCTGCATTGCATCCATAATTACTGCAACTTCCAACCTTATAGTACTTAAACTGGCAGTAGTCAACTGGCATCCTTGCCCTCGCCTTTTTCTTTGCAGTATCACGTGCGCACAATATTGTGGTTAATGTTACAGAAAAGGTCATCAATGAAAAGGCTGAACTAACTGTATTACTGCAACATCATGCACATAAATGTCAATATAATATAGTGTCCAAACACAAGGAAATAATTCCACAAATCTGCTTTTATCATTTCTCCAAAGCCTCTGACTTCTACGGAAAAAAACCTCTGAGCCTCACCCAAGACTCTCACTCAATTTTCAAACTGTACGCGCTAGTTCTGGCTCTTGATTTCCTGTGGCTCCCTTTCCACCGAGCAGGTAATGCTCATCCCTATCCATTTTCTTTTCCTCTGAGGAGCAGTCCAGACTTACATGGTTGGACTGGCCCAAAGCAACCAGCCTGCAGAGAGAGGGTACAGTGTGGGACGGCGGCAGTGGACTCTCTGTGCAGGGCTGCCCTGGCTGCACTTGAGCCTCCAGCAGCCCTTCCCTGGGGACCTCCTGCCAGGGATGGTGCTGATGAAACCTCTAATGATGCTCCGCCTGCCTAAAAGGACAGTGGGGAAACTGAGGAATTGAAGATTTTGAGCAGACAGTGGAATGGTCACAAGATTCAGCAGACACACAAAAGCTGGTGTTGATAACTTAGGACTGCCACTTCCTCAGTCTCAACCTTAGCAGAGGGAGGAAGAAGAACATTTCACAGCATCACAGAATATTCTGAGTTGGAAGGGACCCTCAAGGATGATCTGGTCCACCAGAATGAATGAATGGCCTGTACAGGGATTGAAACCATGACCTTGGTGTTATTAGCACCATGCTCTAATTAACTAAATTTTCTCCACATTCAGAGTGGACAAAATACTTTGAAGGCATGGCAGTTGCTGAAACTACTGCTTTATTTAATGCTGGCAGTTTATATTGATTTAGCAAAATTTTCAGATTTCCATCAAAAAAAGTGAGCTGTTTTTAAGAATTTCAAAGTAAACTGGGGCTGTTCCAATCCCAAAGCAGCAGTGGGATTTCTTACTAGATGCTGCTGCTGCTGCTGCTGCAGGAATAGTGAATTTCATCTCCTTGGTCTACAAAGGAGGTTGCCTGCTTTCTAAACTCCTTCTTGGCAACACCACTACTCTGCCCAACTTCAGCACCTGGTACTTGTTCAGTGCAGCACACTATAAACCCCTGGGCCCCATCCCCAACTGTATACACTTATATAGCTCTAAGGCAGTCAATGGTGCTGCACATCTTCACAGAGGATGAAGATTTTGCTATATCACTCTTAAATCTGGCAGAAAATTCAGTATGACATATTGTATCAATTCTGAGTGCAGCTTGAAATCAACCACGACATTGTTTGTTTTCCTGAAGTACGCAACTGGCGCTGTCAGACTCCACTAGAGCCATACCATGCTGTTATCAGCAGAGATTTCTTTCCCAGGGCTAAGGCACAGTTGCTGCCATCGCACCAGTGTCTCAAAGCAACAAGCTCAGTACAGATCCTCAGTTCTTGTACTGAGCACCCGACTGGCATGAAGCTTTTGGCTTTCACGCATCTGAAACAGTGAATTCTAGCTTCCAAAAAAACCATATATACTGAGATCTAAGAAACTAGGAAGGCAGATTTGATGGTCAGTTCTTTGAGAGATTATAATGGGATCCTCATCTCTGAAATGGTAAAAAACTAAAGGTTTCAAAATATTATTGGGTAAATGCTGCTATTGCTTTTTTGTTATTTTAAATCCTTACACTGGTCCTGTGAAAAGTTTCCAGTGACTTGTGTTATGCTTCAGTGTTGACAAAGGCAACAATCTAATTAAAATGCAAATTTTGTTCTCTTGGAAGAAAACAGCTAATGCCAATTGTCAGGAAAGAATGCCCAAGCCACTCACCTACAGAAGAAACAGCACCTGTAACCTTGACAGCCTCGGAAGCGGCTCTCTGAAACTCCTCCCCCTATTCCTCTCCTTCCACAAAACCACAGCTGTACACCATGGAGCTGTTCCTGTTTCCTCTTCTTCCTGCCCTTGCTTTTGTATGGGCACACGTTCCGATCAGTTCAAAAATATGAGATACTGCAATTTCATAAAACATGATTTAATCAACTGTTTTCATCACATGTTAAACAAAATTACAAAGAAATGGACAAAGAAATCTGTTCAACTGCAAGTTGATGTGTTTGCCCAGAGTCATGGCAGATTTTTGCCAATTAGAACTACAGTGACAACCTCTGTAATACAACACTGATGTGAGACTGCTTTGGGCTCTGGTTTGTACTTAAGTTCTTCACAGCTGCCCTTTTAGTAGCTCCTTGCAGCAGGCAAACAGGCCACTTACTTCTAAGGTGCCTGAGAGCAGTACCACCTACCCTAACAGTTTTCTGGCATGCAATACTGG